AACAGAAATAGGAGGGAACCAGAGCAGGTCTGGGAGACAGTCCCCAAGACACTGTCAGACGACAAACCTCAGTGGAGAAACGAACAGAACAGCCTAGAACACAGCAGCGCCGGTGTGTGATAACAGCCACATCAGATCACGTGCGTGTGGGGGAGATGGGCAGGGGCCTGCGGGAAAAACACTGTGATTTGATGCGCTGGGAAGATACGGGTACGCTGGTACCGTCTATTTTTATTTTTGTTAACACTGATAAATACTTATGCAAGAGTAAATTTAAATGCCTTCAGAGATAAAGACATCACAAAGAAAAATAATCAAAGAGCCTGACTACATAAAAATTAGAAACTTCTGCATGTTAAAAAAACCAGAAAGACAACAAGTGCTAAAGACTTAACTTATAGGAAATGTGACAGGCAAAGGGTTAATTAAAGACATCCTTATTGATATTAAACACTCCTGAAAATCAAAAAGCAAGCATTAAAATTGCAAGAGGCAAACAGACAAAACATACAGGCACAAGTTAAATATGCAAAAATACAACAATTTATATACATAAGAAAAATTTTCAGCCTTACCAGTAATTAAAGAATCACATATTATTATAGCAAGAGTGAAACAACCTTCTATTTTAAAGTTTTCAAATCTATCTTTAAATCAGACACTAGCGTCCACCTGTGAGAAACGTCAGAGCACCAGAGACGCAAAAAGGGCCCAGAAGGGCTCCTGCCCTTTGACCCGGGACTCTCTCAAGAGAGAAAACTCAGAGGACGGACACAGCTGAATGCTGGTCAAAGATGTTCATCAAGGATTATTTATAAGAAAGAAAACTTAAGCCATTCCCAAGCATCAGCAACAGAGTCATGGTCACATGAAGAACTGCTCTATAAAATGTTAAGTAACAGAAGCCCAAGTCAGGAAGGTAAATACCTCAGGACCACAGCTATATGCTTAAAGGGGGAAAACTGAATTCAGCAAAGTTGCACGGTACGAGGTCAACACAGAAAAATCACTTGTGTTTCTATATACTAGCCAGAACAATCTGAAATAGAAATTAAGACAGCAATTCTGTTTATAATAGCATCTAAAAGAATGAAATACTTAGGAATAAAGCTAACCAAGGACATGAAAGGCTTGTATACCAAAACCAACAAAACTTGGATACAAGACACTTGTAAAGATCTAAACAAAGAGAAAGACATTCGTATCAATGAACTGGAAGACTTACTCCTGTTAAGGTGTCCATTCTACCTGAAACCATCTGCAGGTTCAATTCAGTCCCTATTACAATTCCAACCACCATTCTGTACTGAAATGGAAAAGGAGATCCTCAAATTCAGATGGGAATTGTAAGGAGACCCCAAAGTCAAAACAATCTTGAAAAAGCAGCAGAAAGTTGGAGGGCTTAGCTTCCTAACGCAAGCTTGCCACAAAGGGGCAGGGATGAGGCAGGGCAGCGCCGGCGAGGATGGACAGGGACCTCTGGAGCCCACACGTAAAAGGATGAAAGGGAAACAGATGGTGGTGGGAGCACGGGACTTCTGCAAAGGAATGGAGGTGCGCCTTTAATGCAGACCACTGGTTACTGGTAAAAGATAACCAGCGACGGAGGGAAGGCCTATACTTGAGAACTAACACAATAAAATTCTCAGACAAAAGAAAATTGGGGAAAATCTTCGTGACGTTGAATGTGGCAACAATTTCATGGATATGACACCAGAAGCACAGGCAAAAAAGAAAAAGAAAGAAATTGGATTTCATCAAAATTAAAACCTTTTGTGCATCAAGGAATACTATCAAGAAAGTTAGAGACAGCCTGCAGAACAAAAGAAAACATTTACAAGTCTGACGTGGGCTTAGCCTTCAGAATATGTAAAGAACTCCTTCAGCTCAAGAACAAACCACCTGATTAACAAATGGGCTAAGGATCTGATGGCCGTCTCTCCAAAGAAGACAGACAACAGCCAACACACACAGAGGAGTCTCCACAGCAGTCACCAGGGAAAGGCAAACGAAGCCCACAGCGAGGCTCCGCTTCCTACCTCCTAGGAGGGCTGCAAAGGGAGGATGCGGAGAGACGGGGACTCTCATGCACCATGTGGGAAACGGCGCAGGGGGCCCCAGAAGATCCCCGAGAGAGCGAGTCACCACGTGAGCCGGGCCCACTCCCAGGTTCACACCCAGAGGGACAGGGGCGGGGCCGGCAAGGGAGCTTCACTCCCCGCGTTCCTGCAGCGTCGCTGCTCACAGCCAAGAGAAATCAGCCCGTGTCCATCAAGAGATGGACGGACAAGCAAAACACGGCCGAAACCCAGTAGAAGGACTGCGAGTCTGACACACGCCCCAGCGCGGACGGACCTGGAGCCCCGCGCTCAGCGAAGCAGGGCAGACAGAAGGCCACATGCAGCCTGATTCCACCCCCGTGAGGCCCCAGGGCAGTCAGGCTCCCACAGACAGAGGCAGAGCCGAGGCCAGCAGGGCCCGGGGGGCCGCGGGGAGCAGTGACCAGTCATGGGGACCACGAACAAGGGCTGCAGGCAGCGGTGACGGGCGCACAGCTCTGTGAAGGCGTTCAGCGCCTCGGCAGTGAGTTTACAGATGGATAAAAGCATAAACATCGTGCTATGTATGTCTTACTACACTTTCTGAACGTGGAAGACAGGGTGGGGTGATGCGGTGCGCGGTTAGAAGACAGGAACGGGATAAACCACGTCAGCAGCTGCTGCTCTGAGAAACCTTTTGGGGGCTTCACTTTCTTTTAACAACTTCCCTCTATTTTCCAAAGTTTCTTTCAGTTACTCTTTGGATAGGAAAAATAAAGCAGCATGTTTTAACCACTTTCTAGGTTTTGATACATACATAGGTTGGCTGTCCAGATTTCTCACTTCTAGACAGAAAGTTGCTTCGCGGTTGAGAAAGCCGCTACAAAGGGTTTACCTGACAAGGGACCCTAAGGAAAGGAAAGGTGCAAGGCGCTCAGCCGTGTCCGACTCTTTCGACCCCGTGGACTACACAGCCCATGGAACTCTCCAGGCCAGAACACTGGAGTGGGTGGCCTTTCCCTTCTCCAGGGGATCTTCCCGACCCAGGGGTAGAACCCAGGTCTGCCGCACTGCAGGCGGACTCTTTCCCAGCTGAGCCGCCAGGGAAGCCCTACGGCCGCTGAAGAGGACTGAACGGAGCGCTCAGCTGCGGGCAGGCAAGAGCTCAGCTCTTCCCACGAGGCGGCTGCCCGGCGGGCGCACTCGAGCCTCTCCACCCCCAGGCGCTGCGTGAGGAGGGCTGAGCGTCAGCGGCCCTGCAGGGGCCACTCTCCTCTGCATCGCGATAAAGGCCGTGACTGACCTCCCGATAAATTAAAACAGGAAGGGTAATTTAAAGGTGCACGTGAGCCTTTTCCTGATCTAAATGGTATTAATTGACCCATAGTAGCATCCTAAGCGCTTCCCAGAAGGTCTCATTTATAGAAAACGATACGGACACCGTGCAGGAGTCCCCAAGACCTGGTCTCCCCTTTCTGACAAGTAAATAAAACAGCAGGGAGATCAAATAACTCACTAGAAAGAAGATATAACTTTTTATCTTCCTTTTTACAGTCTCACATCCACTTCCGCTGGGAATAACAAAGTCTGAATTCTTATGCAACACTTATCTAAATGTGTCGATTTTATCAGATTGATGAATTTTGCTAACAAAAGGCAGCGCTGGGAAATCTTTTATGACACATTTGGCCCATTCTCAGGGCTGAAGCTTTAATTTAACCAACTGGAGAATTCTGAGTGAGAGCTGCAGGTGTTAGAGCCGAAGAAAGCATCACAGAGGGGAAAGCATATCCATCTTTGTGACGGGGAGACAAAACCACCTCCACTGTGTGCGCCCCCCAGGGGGGAGGAGCAGGGGCCAGGGCTCGATGGAGTCGGGGGGGCCGCGGGTCCATTCTGATCAGAGGGCGCTGGCCGCGAGGGGGGCCCAAGGATGCAGCAGGCGCGCGGACACCCATGCTCCGTGGGTGTCTTCTGCTTTTGCCTCTGTGGCCGCCGAGCACCCAGGGGGCTTTCTGCCCCCCAAACCCTGAAGACCAGCAGCTGGCGAAGGACAAGGCCGCCCGGTCGCCCTCTCCCGGGGCTCACCCCTGTCTCCGGGACCCTCCTGACCAGAGCCTGCCTCTCCCAGTTACGCCCCTGCACAAAATTCAACGACTCCCCACTTCCCACAGGACAGAATCGTAAACCCCTTGGCATGAAATATTCCAGAGGGCCCTGTGATCCAGCATTTGTCCATCACCCCTCTGTCCACCTGTCCCTCCAACTCCATAAGCCTCTGTGACAGTCACGTCCAGCCATCACCCCAACCCACCCCCGTTCCGATAACCAGGTCTCAGCTGAGCAGGCAGTGAGCAGGCAGGACTGAGGCCTCATCCACAGGGCCTCGGGTCGGGGGCGGCTTGGGGCCCTTTCAGGCCATGTGATCCCTGGACCCTCGTGGGCCAGTGCCCGGCCCACGAGGACACACCTAGAGCAGCGGGGCCGCAAGACGCAGGTGGCCTGGGTCCCTGAACGAGATGCCGACGGAGCCACCCGCCACTCACGTCAGGAAGCCACCCCTCCCGGCTCCTCGTCCTCTGGCACAAGCACTGCGGCCTCTAACCCGTCAGCAAACCCACTTGGTGTTCTCCAGGGTCTTCTGCATCTTCCTCGTCATCCTGTCGATCGCGGCCTGTCTCTTCCCTTCGGGCAGGAGGTCGGTCTTGTTCAGCACCACGACCAGCTTCTGGCAGGCAATCTGCCCAATCACGAGGCACTCGGCCGACTGGGTCTGCATCCCCTTGGTCACGTCGATGACCAGCATCATCAGGTCGATGATCTGGGCCCCTGGGGGAAGAGAGGACCAGGTCAGAGGGGAGCGGGGGTGTGCGTGGCGACCGCAGCCCCTAGCGCCGGGTGGGGGGTCACCTGGCCGGGAACGCTGGCCGCTCCTGGTTCTATAACCAGATTTCCCCGTCTCTAAATGGGCAGCACGGCAGGCTCGCTGGGGGCTCCAGGAGCCTGTGCGCACGGCGGTCTGGCAGCTGAGGACTCGCTCTCCGGCCGCCCTTTCGCTGTGGTCAGTGTTATTCTGTCAGCCCACTGGGGGAAAACCAGAACCTCCATGCAGTCTCAAGTTGCTTCTTCCTGATGCTGGCGTGCAGGGCCTCCACCTCTAACCTGAGCGGCTTGCCTTCCATGGCTCTGCCCTGCCTGCCGTCTGACGGCCCCCCAGCCACCAGCCTCCGTGCCGGGCCGCGGACCCCTGCCGCCCTGTGGGGTCTCTGCCCCGGCCCCTGCCCAGCCTCTCCGAGTCCTGGCAGCCCCCCGGCCTCCCACACCGTCCCAGCCTTCTTTCCTGCCGTGTTTCCCCAGGACACTTAGTACCTCTGCCTCCGCCTGCAGCGGGCGCTGCCTGGGGCTGGCCTGGCTTCCCCCGCCCGCTGCCACCTTCAGGGGTGGGACACGGATGGATACCGTTTCCCCTTCAGATTGGATTGTTAGTCCCTGTTGCCAATTTAAAGACACTTTAACACTGCTAAGCCAAGAGGAGGGGCTGGGGGCGCCTGCAAGGGCCCTGTTGACACTTTTCTCTTTGCTGCCGATTTAGAGACGCTAAGACGCTCTCCCGGGCGGGGAAGGCGCACTGCAGGCCTCTCTCCTGAGTCACCTTTGCTTTTACGAATCTTTCCTTCCCATGCAGAAATGTTTCCTTTTTATGCGGAAATGGTCAGTCTTCCCTCTTTTCCCTTTTGTTTCTGGGCTTTGTGTGTTACCTAGTTATTTTTTACTTTTAAGATTATATGTATTTTCTCATGTGTTTTCTTCCAGTCCTTTTACAGCTTTAAATGTCTATGTTTCAGAGACTTTGCTGGCAGCCCAGCGGTTAAAAATGCACCCTGCAGTGCAGGCAACATGGGTTCGGCCCCGAGTCGGGGGACTAAGATCCCACATGCTGCAGAGCTCCCGAGTCTGAGCGCCAGAACCGGAGGGCCGCACGCCGCAGCGGAAGGTCCGCCAAGACCTCAAGGGCAACCGAGACTCGATGCGGCCAAACGTGTCTGTGCATACTTACAAGTCTCTGCTTCAAACTGACCCATTTGGAATTTATTCTGGCCTAACATGCAAGGTGGAGACCGGACTTGAGTGTTCTCTGGACGGCGACCCGTTGCCCCCGAGTCACGGGAACCCTCTCTCCTCTGCAGGTCCCGACAGTGAGACTCGGGAGGGGCGCACTCGGGGGGCCCTGCAGCCGGGACCCTCGCCCAGCCCCGCGGGGGCCGTGTCGCGGGCCTCCGGCACTCGCTGGCCCCCGGCTCGCCCTCCTCTTGGCAGGGGCCCAGCGCCTCTCTGTCTGCGGTCTTGTCCTCGGCTGTCTCCTTTTTTCTTGTCTCCGACACGGCTGGCTGTGTTGTTCCCCCTGTTTCTCCTCTGCTGACGTGGCCCTGTCGTCCTCCCGGGCTCTTCAGGGGGTGGTGAGTGAGCGGCCCCGCGCCCCCAGGGACGGTGCTCGGCCCAGGTCGTCCCGAGGACGCTGGCAGCTTGCCGCTGCGCCCTGTCCTCTCCCGTCTTCCTGGCTTCCTCGGAGGAGCCTGGCCCACCTGCTCCTCGGGACGCCGCAGGGACCCAGAGACGCAGGAATGCAGGCCCCGGCCCGCAGGCAGCTGGCGATGGAGGAGCGGCGTGTGAGCGCAGACACTGCAGGCTCGAGCCCTGGCCCTGCTGCTCAGTGTCCTGGGCCCGGGCCTCCGCCTCCCCACTGTGAGACAGGGTCTCCTCGCGGGGCCGAGCCGAGGGCCAGGGCTGGCGCGCAGCAGGCAGGATTCAGGCGCACGTGCAGTCAGGAGCTGGGCCGCTAGCACAGACATCAGGGCGGGGCGACCGGAAGCCGTGGGCCCGGCAAGATGGCTCCTTGGCCACGTCATAGGCAGGCCTGGGGTGGCCACAACCGCTGACTCCCAAAGATTCTACCCGACCCATCTCGGGCCGAGTGTGGGCAGTGTGTGTGGGCTGAGTTGCGTCTTTCCCCAGGCCGCCGTCCACAGCCGGCCCCGTGTAGGCCCGCTCCCAGCCCGGGGCCTGTCCCTGGGGCCGGCAGCCGCTCTGGGGCTCCTGCGGGTCTGGCGGCACGCTGGGTCTGCCAGACACAGGGTCAGCGCGTCACTGACGGGAGCTGGTCGGACTGCTGTGGCCCCTCGCTGGGCAGGATGTGTGTGTGTGTGTGTGCGCGCGCACAAGGGTAGCCCCCTTTGCAGGCCAGGTTCAAACAGTCCGAATCTCCTGCCCACTGGGGTACACAGTATTCCAGGCCACAGCCTGGCACTCGCCAAGGGCCCCGTGGAGGGCCTCCCAGACGCCGCTCAGAACCGTTCCACGCACCGCGGCTCCTCTCCCCTCTCCTCTCCCTGGGTGGAAGCACCATCCCAGCAGTCCTAGGGTTCTGGCGCCCAAGGCGCTTCCCCCGGCCCCTCCCGAGGCACCTCCCGCAGCCTCACTGCCGTCCACAGGCTCCACCCAACGTCCCCGCGCACAGAGGCGCTCGCTGTGCTGGGAAACGCTCCCGATGCGCAGGACGCCGGTGTCCACTGCAGCTCTACGCTGGGTTGTAGGCACCTACCCCACTTCTTGAATATTTAACGTCACCAGTAAAAGTTTTTCCTTTGTTTTAAATTCAATATTACTTCTTATTTAGGGTGCCCATAGCTTTTTATTAAAACTCAAACTTGGGTTAACGATCTGGTTTTGCTAAAATGGTTAACATTTTATATTCAGTTTCTCCCGTTGAAAACTTTTTTTCTCCCCAAACACATTTTCCCCCCTTTTAGTCCCAGAAGGAAAATTTCATCTCACAGATAACGTGTTAAATGCTGATCTTTGTAGGTTTTTCTTTACTTTTATTTCCGAAACGATTAAGATATATAATCTACGGAATTGGAAATTGTAATTTTTAAAAGTACTGAGAAACTTCAGCCATGTTCTAATTGCTCTGCAAACCTTTAAAGGACTCTGCAGTCCTCACAAGCAGATGGAAAGCGCTGATAGACGGAGAAATATAGAGGGGCACTTGTGAGCGTTTCCCACCCACTCGCTCCTTCTGGCCCTGCAGGCTCAGAGTGATTTCCTACCCTGGGTTCATGGGAATCGGAAAAGACACTGGTTGATTCATTCTGTGGAAATACTGGGGATTTAGAGAAAGACAAGACAGGCCAGAGTTATGTCACTTCCTGTCCCCGGATCAAAGTGTGGTGAAGAAACAGTGATCGGGGGCTAGTGCCGGGCGCGGGTGGCTCCTGGCTCTGACCCGGCTTTCAGCGGGGCCCCTCGAGCCGCTGTGACCTTGGGACCCCTCAGAAGGCCCTGGTGTCGGCTGTGCCAAGCGCCTACCGCGGAGGTGGTGTGCGGCGCCGGAGGGAGGCCGCGGACAAAGCCGAGCGTCCAGGTCCCGTCTGCACCAGCCCTTCTGGGCCTGACAGTTCCCTCTCCCATCCCGAGGATCCCAGGAGGCACCAGAGGCGGAGGGGGCGGACAACTCGAGCCTCCCCTCCCAGCCCCCTGCCACGGCAAGGCACTCAGGCCGCTCTGCACGCCAGCAGGGAGCGGACGCTCAGCCTCAGGACCACATTCCTGGTCAGCCGAGGGGAGGCTGGGGAGGCGGCTGTCTGCCTGCTCAGGCCCACAGACTGATTAAGCCCTGCCCCAGCTCAAGCTTGTGCTGAAGGCTGTGAACACAGATGAAAACGCAGGTCCTGGTCTGTGAGCCGCAGGGCGGGAGGAAGGGGCTGGGCAGAGGAGCCGGACTCACAGTGGGGGCAGGAGAGACGCCACGGGGCCGGCCCAATTCTGGGGTCCAGTGGAGGCGGGGAGGAGCACGGGACCGCCCTGCTTCTGGGGTCCAGTGGAGGTGGGGGAGAAACGCCACAGGGCTGCCCTGATCCCGGGGTCCAGGCAGGGGAGGACTGTGGGGGGGCAGCTGGACTGGGGCTGGGTACCCGCTCAGAAGGACAGGCCGTGTGGCTGACGGGATCTTCAGTGGAAGCATGAAAGCCTCTTTAAGAGAGTCTTTAAGGGTAGACCTTTAAGAGAACTTCTTGAGAGGCGGGGCTGACAAAGATGGGGCGTGGAGGGAGGACCTGGGGCTGAAGGTCTGGAGAGCAGGCGACCCTGCGTCAGGGAGGGCATCCCAGTTACCCGGTGCCCCACCCACGAACACTGCTGCTAGTATTGGGGACTTAAGTGTGTTTAAAGTGAGTCTTTTTTTTGGAATTCTAATGCACTTATACTAAATACAACATTACATGGCTTCCCTGGTTCTTCCCTGGTGGCTCAGAGGGTAAAGCATCTGCCTGCAATGTGGGAGACCAGGGTTCAATCCCTGGGTTGGGAAGATCCCCTGGAGAAGAAAATGGCAACCCACTCCAGTATTCTTGCCTGGGAAATCTCAGGGATGTGGGAGTCCAGCGGGCTACAGTCCATGGGGTCGCGAAGAGTTGGACATGACTGAGCAACCTCGCTTTCACTTTAGGTGACAGTAAATGCATTAAACTTCCTGTAAGTAGAAGCTACCTGGATTTCCTTGGTAGTCCAGTGGTTAAGAGTCTGCCCTGCAATGCAAAGGACACATGTTTGATCCCTGGTCTGGGGCACCCCTGGGGGCTCAGACGGTAAAGCGTCTGCCCGCAATGTGGGAGACCAGGGTTCGATCCCTGGGTCGGGATGATCCCCTGGAAAAGGAAATGGCAGCGCACTCCAGTATTCTTGCCTGGAGAATCCCATGGACGGAGCCTGGTGGGGTACGGTCCATGGGTCGCAGAGAGTCAGATGCGGCTGAGCAACTCCACTTTCTTTCTTTCCGGAGAGATCCCACGTGCGGCAGAGCAACTAAGCGCAGACGCCCAAGTACTGAAGCCCGTGTGCCTGGAGCCTGCGCCTCACAGCTAGAGAGCGGCCCCTGCTCGCCGCAGCCAGAGAAAGCCCGAGCACGCTGACAAAGACCCAGAGCCGCCACAAGGAAAAACAGCTAAAAGGGAAGATAAACGACAAAGCAAAACTCGCGGCGTCGCTCTGAGCCCCAGGCCTGCTGTGCACGAGGGGGTCGGCAAGAGCGCGTGAAGGACACGCCAGACCTAGCTGCCTCTCTCCCTGCAAAAGAACAAGGGCTGGATGACAGTCGGGAAAGGCGTGACCTTCAACCTCTCTGGGCAGGGGTGTTAAGCGGGCGCCAGGCTCACACCTCCCCGCCTCCGTCTCCCCAGCCACCCTGGACGCCTGGGACAGAGCAACACATGGCTTGCGGCGCCCTCCTTGGAGAGCAGCACAGCAATAGCCAGCGGTCTCCGCTTCCTCGGAACAGAGGGCTGCAGCGGTCGGCTGGCACGCCTTCCCAGATGGAGGGGACGGAGGAGACGGAGGGGATGCGGGGGACGGAGGGGACGCGGGGGACGGACGGGACGCGGGGAGGACGTGGGGACGTGGGGGATGGAGGGGACGGAGGCACGCCGGGCTCCGGGCCCACCGCGAGCCAGCAGTCCTGGCCGCGCTCGCTTCCCTAAGCTACTGTGTCGTTGTCTACCTGAGGTAATCTTTTTAGCTGACTTTGCATAACAGTACGACTCCTGTTCAAGAGCAGCGAGAAGGAGCAGAAAACGGAATTTGAAATGTAGAAATAAAATAATTGTGGGCCATGAGCTATAATTTGATTTCATGCTTTACAAGGAAATGAAAGAAGGCTTCCTTAAAATGTGGGGTTTCTGCTCCCCCTGCCCGCCCCCCTGTAACCATTTTAGGATTTCCTCCTGCACCAAGGAGAAAATAGGGTCGTGGAGCACGCTTGGCTCTCCAGTGTCACCGCCACTCAGGGCGCGCTCGGCTTAATGTGAACTTCCCATTCTGGGCAAGAGGAAATGCTTCAATTAATGAGCCGGGTGTGCGGAGGCCAGTCTTTAAGGTTTAATCAATTTCATCTGTACTTAGGATAAAAAGACTGACTATTCTACTTTTTTTTCCCCTGGTTTTTCCTTCTTTAAAAAAATAATAAAATGAATGTTTTATTTTAAATTCTTTGAGGATCGTATCTCCTGTTTCAGGAAATATTGTCTATTTCATGCAGTGAGTACGAAAACTCCCCCCTCCTTTTTCACTTTTGCTAAGACTCTTTTTTAAAAAATAACTAAATTATCCCCTGCCCTCATATACTGTAACAGCTCGGGAGATGACACGAATTATACAGGATTTTGGCAGACACCTCGGAGAGGCGGGCGAGAGAGACAAATCGCCAAATATGGACGGGAGAGCTCTGTGTGGACAGACACCGGGGGTGGACGTGGGAACGTGAGCCGGCAGCGCCCTCCCAACTGGGACCTCGGGGCCGGACGGCCGCAGCCAGCAGGCTGGGCCACGTGGTCCACGGGCACCAGACTTCAGGGTGAGCCAGGCCGGCTCCCCGCAGGACCTGCTGAGCAGCCAGCAACAAAAGGATCCCCAGGACAGACAACTCCTGAGCCTTCACTGCCTGGACCCTGGATGCGCAGGGTCCACTGGGATTCGGGGATGGGGTCGTGGCCAGGCCCCAGGTGACGAGTCTGCACCTCCGCTCCGCTCACCAGCCAAGCAGCGGGTCTGTGTCTTCATCTCCATGGTGGGGAGCAGGCCACTGGGAGCTGTGAGAGCATCGTGCGCCTCACGTGGCCCTCGGGGCGCGCGGCCCCCAAACTGGGTCCTGCCTGCACTCCCACGTGCCTGGGGAAATGCTACGTCTATGATTTTCACTAAAACTCTGCAAATCCAGCGCCCATCATGGGGACGAGCCTGAAAGCCTCATCACTGCAGCGCGGCTGCCCGGACCACGGGTCTGCACGCGGCTGGTCTGGCGCACAGACAGCCCGTCTCCGCGAGAGAACTGGGGGCTCAGGGCGTGGTGGGGGCTCATGCGGGGGTGCGGGGGCACCCAGGTGGAGGGCCCGGGGCCACTCAGCCTGCCTCCTCCTCAGGGGCACCGGGGACAGTTTCTCCTGAAGACGCAGCCTGTGAGCCCAAAGCAGAAACACCCCCGGGTTTCAGGCTGTGCCTTCCCTCCCCACGGACAGGGCAAGGCCTGCAGACAGAGGTCCCGCACGTGGGGGCACGCGGGCTGGCCCTCAGCGCCACCCCTGCCGCCCGGGGAGGCCTGCTCACAGAGCCTCGCTCTCCCACGGGCTCGGGGCCGCGTGCAGACCTCAGAGCCCTGGGCCTGGCACAGCAGGCACTGAACCCGAGGTCCCGGCCTCGCCAACCCCAGCCCTGGACGAACACCTGTCCCGAGATGGGGCCATGGGCAAAGTCGAGGGCCTGCAGGGCTGGTGGGGGCCTCGACCTGGAGCGAGAGGACACCACGGTCACTCGGGGGGATGGACACCACGGTCACTCGGGGATGGACACCACGGTCACTCTGGGGATGGACACCACGGTCACTCGGGGATGGACACCACGGTCACTCTGGGGGATGGACACCACGGTCACTCGGGGGATGGACACCACGGTCACTCGGGGGATGGACACCACGGTCACTCTGGGGGATGGACACCACGGTCACTCGGGGGATGGACACCACGGTCACTCTGGGGATGGACACCACGGTCACTCTGGGGGATGGGCACCACGGTCACTCTGGGGGATGGACACCACGGTCACTCTGGGGGATGGACACCACGGTCACTCTGGGGGATGCCCCCCCCCCGGCTCCAGCCCACGTGGCCAGAGAGGAATGTGGGCCTGGAGTTGCCAGATCTTCCGATTTTTCAAAAGAAGCCAAAAATCTGGACCACTGTGCGAACTGTGCCAACTTTTAAATGTTGACAACCAATTCCGAAAACATGTTTAAACTGCATGGCCCAAACAAAACATGTTTATTGGCCAAAGTTGGCCTGCAGCTCCCAGCGGAGGGTCTCCAGAGGGGGCTGGAGGACGTGGAGCAAACGCGCACGTCTTTGGCTGGTGAATCCTGCTGAGCCCTGGGCCCTCCCGCCCCAGGACTCAGGAGGAGCGCAGGTGCTGGTGGGGGGGTTCCTCCCGGAGAAGCTGGGCAGGGCCCCCACAGTCTCCAGGTGGGCTCCCCAGGGGGTAGAGTGGGGCTTGAGGCCGTGGGCCTGTCGCCAGAGAAACCTCAGCTGAGATCCGAACTCTCGTGGGGCCCCGGGGCAGGCTCTGCAGGCCTCATCCGGGGTTACCCAGGCCCCCCCCAACCCGAGGCCCCCCCCCGCCGCAGCCTTACGGCCGGCCGCTCTCTGGCGGGCATCCCCCCAGCGTCAGGCAAGGTTCTCCCACAGGCTCAGCGCCCTGGGACAAGGGCAGCCCAAGGGGGACTCGAGAAGACGGTTCTCCCAGGAGAGCGAGGTGGAAACCTCGGTGGCCCCGGGTGGAATGTCCTTGAGGACAGGTGCCGTCCTCGCCACTGGCATCCAGAGGGGCTGGGTGCCCTGTCCAGCCCGCATCCTGCAGGCAGAGGCCCAGAACGGCCACGTTCCAGCTAGGGTGGAGAGTGGTGGCAGCGGCGGGCACCCAGCCCACAGCCCTGGGTCCACAGCACAGGGCCCCCCAAGAAGGCGAGAGCGTGGGATGGTGAAAGCCCCCTGAGGGGCAGAGGGCAGGGCGCTGGGGCTGCCCCCTCCCCAGCCTCCCCCACGAGCCCCAGCCCGGCCGTCAGCCCTGCATCCCGGGACCTGGGCACCTGCGCTTGCCCGGCGCCCCTCCTGCCTCGGCCCTTCCCCTGGCACTGCACGCGGGGTTTGCAGCTCAGACGCCACCACCCTGTCGGGATCAGGCAGCCCTCCCCTGGGCTCCCAGGATGCCCAGCACAGCCGCGTCCTGCGACCCCCGCCGCTCAGGGCCGGCGGTCAGCAAGCCCTTCTGCGGGGGCGGTGAGGGCCCCGAGCAGCCTGCTGCGAGCCATGAGCAGACTCCTCCCCGGCCTGGGGCGTGATGGCCCCGGCCCGCCAGAGAGGCTCATGTGCCAAAATGGCGAGGAGGGTGCTGGCGGCCGTGTCCTGGGCAGGAGGGCATGCAGTGAGCACCAGGGCCCGGGCCTGCAGAAGCTGCATTCCTTGGGAGAAGACCCCCAAGACCCCAGTGACGGGGAGGAGGAGCCCCGTGGGGCCACGTGGGAGATGCGCTGAGACTCCAGGTGTGGCAGCAAGCAGCCCAGGCTGTCCCCCTCCCCCAGGGAAGGGGCCCCGGGACAGCAGGACCGCGTTCTGGGGGTTCTGAGTGGCGGTGCTTGGTGCTGTGGCCTCAGACACAGGCAGGCCCTTCCAGAGACGGGACCCAGCCACGGTGAGCCCCAAGGCAGGGAAGGCACCACGGGTGCAGGGGAGGGTGGGGGAGGCCGGCCAGGCTGCCCCGGGCGACAAGGTCGGAGCGTGCAGGGTCGCAGAGCCTGAGAGCGTGGTCTCAGGAATCTGTTTACTGGGGAAGCAGGAGAAAAAAAGAAGGAAAGGGGGGGAAGTCTACCATAAAAAGTCAGTAAAATCAGCAGAATTCCTTTATGAAAAGGGTGGAATTAGCATATGGCCTCAGCTGCCAAGTGAGGCCACTGAAGCAAGCAATGAAAATGAGTTCAAGACACAAGCAGACGTTTTTCTGGACGGAGTCAGAGGGACCGAGCAGTGGCCGCCCCCCCGCGCCTCCCTCCCAAGCTGCCCCCAGCCACACTGGGCCTCTGTGCTCTGTGCGCGGCCCCCAGTGGGGCCCAGCCCTGCCCTCAAGGAGCTCCCAGTGCAGCGGGGAGACACTGAGACCCACAAGGTCAACGAGTGCAGGACATGAGAGCAAGACGCGAAGTCTGCGACGAGACGAGGGGATTCAGCGGCTGGGGGGGGGCGGTCCCGCGAGGACGCGGCAGGGCTGCAGGGATGCGTCCCGTGTCCCCCAGACCCTGGGGACAGGCCAGACCCCTCGGAAGGACTGGAGGTGTGGACTGCTGGCTCGGGGACCAGACCCCGCTCTACCGCAACAACTCGGGACGGCTGTTCCCCTCCCAGCGGAGAGCAGTACACACAGCCGCCCGGGACGGACACACGGGTCCTCGTGGGGACAGTCCGCCAGCCTCTCCGGCCCAAGGGCTCCTGTGCCCTCCTTCAGGGACTCCTGACGGCGGTGAGCAGCACAGGCTCCCTGGGCGCCTCTTCTTCAAGGACCACCAACCTCCCCTCTGTGATCACGGCACACAGGCTGCCCTGGGCCCCGGTCCCGAGCATCTCCCCGCCCCTGGCCCCTACACCTGTGAGTCAGAGCCCACTCCGCCGCCTCTCGCAGCCAGGCAGTGAGCCTCTCAGACTCAAGCCGGGAGTGATGGGGCCACATGGCACCCCGGCAGAGACCGGGGAGGGGAGACGGACCCCACCAGCGTCCACCAGGGCTCCGTGCAGCCAGGCCGTGTCGGGGTTGGGGCCCTGGCACCCCCGCCCCAGGGCGCAGTCTCTGAGAACAGACACAGAGAAGGCACCACAGCCACAGAACCCAGGACGGGGCCACCGATTACAACATTACTCTGCAGGACACGAGCCCAGACCGGCCGAAGGAAGAGGCGCGGGCCACCCCCCCCACCCCGCCTCCCCTATGGGCTCAGGGCACCTCGCCCGTCATCAACCTCTGTACCAGCCAGAAAGCCCTGCGGAGCCCTGGGCCCAGACTTTCACTGGGGTCTCACTACTTGGGCATGAGGGATTCAGACCCTGGCCACAGGACTGAACTCAGTCCGCTTGCCCTTGACCTCAGAGGTCAGGCAGTCAGGCCACTGTTTCGGCCCAAAGCTGGTCCCCAGTCACACTGCTGGTCTCCGTCTCCCCCAGTGGAGCTCAGATGCAGTCTAGGGGCCCAGCACGACTGCCGGGGGATCCCAGTTTCAGGGGCTCTGTCCCGGGACCCCAGGACAAGACCAGATCCCTTGCTGGACTGCAGTGAGGCTGAGCAGTGCACGCCTGCAGGTGGAGCTGTCCCCTCTGACAACGGCTCTCACGGACAGCCGGGAACACGAACAGGAGCCCCGCATGCTTGGCGCCTGATGCTGTGCTCCTCGGGGCGTGGGCAGGGTGGCCCCCGCGTGCTCCGCGCCTGACACTGTGCTCCTCGGGGTGGGCAGGGTGGCCCCCGCGTGCTCCGCGCCTGACGCTGTGCTCCTCGGGGCGTGGGCAGGGTGGCCCCCGCGTGCTCCGCGCCTCACGCTGTGCTCTTCGGGGCGTGGGCAGGGTGGCCGGCAGGACCAGGGGCTGCCGAGCCAGCCGTCAGAGCCCACGTGGTTCAGAGACGAGACTCCTGGCCCTGAATCCTGAAAGCAGGCCCTGAAAACCCAGGTTCAGGGTCCTCAGCAGGGAGACACCATGTCAGACGCTCGCAGGTGGGGGCCACCCAGGTGGCCCAGCGGTGGAGACTGAGCTCCCCATGCGGGGGCCGGGGCTGAACCCCTGCTCAGGGAGAGGGTCCTGAGTCTGCACCTGAAGCATTCATCTGCCGCGACCGAGAACCGCACGGCCACATAAAACTGAGGACAGACACTTACGGGCGTCGTCCTCAGTGACGAGACTCTCGGCGGCCCCTCATCGTCTCCTCTGTTTTGGGGAATTGAGAATTTCCTCTATATGGAGAATCAGATTCTCCATACACATAAATGACTGGGGTGGGGAGAAACTTAAAAAAAAATAACCTGTGAGGAATAAAATCACATACACCAACTCCCAGGAAGCATCACCAAGCTTCATTGGCGACAGTCCGTGGGAGGTGGAGGGGACGGGGTCTCAGGCCGAGGCAGCGGGCAGAGGCCCTGGGGGATGGTTTGTGCAGCAGACGCCACAGCCCTGGGGGGCCCGGAACCCCCCACGCGGGTACCAAGGCCCGAGGTGGTGGGTCTGGCGGTCGGAGGTCTGGGGGGCGGCGCTGAGTGCAAGGAGTGGCCGGTGGGGGCTGCTGCTCTGCCCAGCACGTGCTCCTTGACAGCAGCCTCCTGGTGTCCTTCTGCAAGCATCTTGGCTCCCTTGACTGACGGGAGGGAGAGGGTCCCAGCCTCCTTAGGAAGGCGGCTACAGGGAAGGCCCCAAACCAGAAAGCACAGTGTCCCGACATGGAGAGCCACCGGCTGGGAGCCGGGGGGAGCGGGCTCTGCCCCCTCACATGCTCTCCCGGACCCCCGAGGCCAGCCCAGCACCACGCCCAGCAGAGCCCGGGAGACAGGAAGGATGGACGGAACAGAACAGACGTGCTGAACCTGGACGCGGGCCCTGCGCTCGGCCTGGGAGCCTGCCCGGGAGCCCACCCATGTCCTGTCTGAAAGCAACGAGAGCAGAAACTGTTCCGAGCTACAGCTGGTGCCTGGGCCGCTTTATCAAGTGTGTGAGACACGGAGCTGATTATTTTTCTGGTAACAAGGAAAACAGAAAGGCTGACAGCACGGAACCTGTCACCAGCTGTTTCCGGAGCAGTTCTCACAGGCCCGTCTGGGCCAGGGCCAGGCGGTACACAGGTCTGCTCGGGCAGCCCGCTGCGGTGGGCTTCGTCTTCCACTTGCCTCTGGATCTCAGGGCCCTGAGTCACGCAAAGCACAGCATGCAGGCTGTCCTGGGCCCTCAAGGCGACGGGCAGAGAGCCCCGTGAGAGGGACGCGGGCTAAGAGAAGCGCGCGCGCGGTGCCCCTGCCGCGGCTCTCTGCCGCTCCCGGGACGGGACCGGGCGCCTCGCCCCACTGGCCGCGCTCTGCAGACCCCAGCCCCAGCGCCTCGGGGGGATTCTATTTTCCTCTTCCTGTGCTGTTTCCCAAAACTGGGACAAGAAAATGTACTTCACGACAACTACAAATACTTTATAACTTAAGTGACTACCTACTAAGACGTTAGCGTGAAGACGCTTGGCTACGTTTTACCTGCTCCGCGTCCGCTGCAGAGGGCGCCCTCAGCCACGCCAGGTACGTTGCCAGCGGGAAAGCCTGCCCCTGCCCCCGGAAAAGCTCCCAGCCACAGGCCCAGCCCAGCAGCCCAGCAGCAGCCACGGCCAGAGAGGGCCCTGGGCCTGCTCCGAGCAGCGGCCCCGCCAGCAGCGGCCTGGGGCCCTGGCCCTGCAAGCAGCACACAGGGCCCCTGGTGAGCGCTCCCGCGAGGTGGGGTGAGCGGGCGGGTGCCAGGGAGGAGAGGCCTGAGGGGGCCGCCTGGGGCAGGGGGGTGGGCTCCCCTGGACTGTGGCAGGTGGAAGGCCTGCGTGGACCACTCGCTGCTCCAGCGGGGACTCAGGACTCCCACCCCGAGCACATCCCTGGATTTGGAGCTGGTTCCCAGCCCCCGGCCTGCGGTGGACACGCCACGCCCCGGAGCAAGCGGGGCCTGGTGACGGGCCAAGCTTTGATGTCCCTCCAGGCCACAACTGGCCAGGTCCTCAGATTTGTTTATTTTTCCTGTATAACTTTTGCAATGTTTCAACTAAACAGACAGTTTTTATCAACAATTCCCAGAGCAAGAAAAATAGCCTAATGCTTGGTTTGTAACGGAAGCCGGTAGGTCTGCGGGGCTGCCGGCTGTGAGAGCAGCTCCCGCTCTGAGGGGCCGGAGACCCACGCGGGCCCCACCTGCGGCCCACACGGCACCCCGCACAGCAGCCACCCGCCGCCCAGGGCACCGCTCTCCTCCAGGACCCTCGTCCCAGCTCCGCCCCCCATACGTGGCAGGAACCCCGGGCCCAGTGCCAGGCACAGGCTGGCCGTTCGGTCTGTCCTGCATCTTCGGCCGGGGGCACCAACCAGCAGAAAGCAGCTGTGCTGAGCGCCCGGGGCGGCTCCCCAACTGCAGAGAGGCAGTGGCTGGAGGCAAGCCTGGATCCAGCTGTGCCTGAACCCGGCACACAGACCGTGCTGGTTCCAAGCAGCAGTTTGGGGGGATTTCTGCCCTTCACAAATGAGGACTACACACCAGGAGG